GGCAAACACTCCAGGGATCTTGAGCATGTATCTGCTGAAACCTAGGGAGTAGGTGGGAAAGGAGGAAAGCCTCACCTACCAGAGGACTTGTTTAGCAGGCTGCTTGGGTGCAAAGGCCCAGGAGAATGGAATGAAGCTAGAGTGGACATAGAAAAGGGAGAAATATTGAAAAGGAGGAATCAGGTTGCCAAAGTCAATGGTACCTGTGTGAAGGGCAGAAAGCAGAACTTACCCACTATTTCTAAAGAGGATCTTTGGCTCAGCTTTGCATTCAGAAAAAGAGTGGAACTCTAAGTAGGGGAAACCCCAAGGAAAAATAGATAGCTGGATACTGATGGTTCTCAGCCCTGACTATCATTTATCATAACCCAGGGAGTTTTAAAAATACTAGTGTAGTGGGGAATGTGGAATGGCTGCTTATTGGGTACAGTAGCCCCACCCCCTTGTCCTCAAGGGATGCATTCCAAACCCCCAATATATGCCTGAGACTAGTGTCAGGCTGTATATATACTATATATTTTCCTAGGCATACATATCTATAATAAAGTTTAATATACCTATAATAGAGTTTGATTTCCAAATTAGGCCCAGTAAGAGATTACCATAATAACATAATAATATAGAACAATTATAATAATATGCTATAATAAAGTTATGTGAATGTGGCCTCCCTCTTCCTCTCTCTCTCAAAATATTGGTAAGTTTTCTTCATGAGCAATGATCATAGTTCTCTGCATTTTGAGGTGCAACAGCAAAAAGAACACAATTTTCTTTTTCCTTCCTCACAATGTTATAGATGGAAGCTTAGGGTTTTGTTGTTGTTGTTTTTCATGGGACTAGGGATCAAACCCAGGCCTCACACATGCTAGGTAAGTGCTCTACCCTGAGTTAGCCATGATTTCCTAGCTCCCAGAAGATTTTTTTTCTATGCATCAAGCAGCATCAATTTTTGTTTACTTTCCTTGCTAACGGGAGAGCTTATACCTTTTCATTAAAAGGAAGCACTTTAAGGCTTCTTTTTAGCTTATTCAAATTGCCAGAATTCTTACTCTTGTGCTTTGGGAGCCATTATTTTTGTTTTAAATATTTATTTTTTATTTTTTTTTTTTTCAGGTGGATGCTATATCTTTATTTTTATGTGGTGCTGAGGATCAAACCTAGTACCTCATGCATGGTAGGCAAGCACTCTACCACTGAGCCACAACCCCAGCCCCATTTGGGGCCTTTATTAAATAAAATAAGGGTCATTTTATCCTAAATATTGAAACTGCAACTATGATTTTGAAATACTCAGAGAAATACTAAGTGAGGAACGGGAAGGTAGTATATACAGTGTGAATACACTGGACAAAGGGATGATTCAGTGTCAAAGGGATGTGAGATTCCATCACACTACTCTGAATAGTGTACCATTTAAAACCTGTGAATTATTTATTTCTAGAATTTTCCATTTAATATTTTGATATCTTGGTTGACCATGGTAACTGACACCACAGAATGTGAAACCACAGATAAGAGGAGATTACTATACAGTTTCCTTTTACGGTGATAAAACTGTTGTGGAACTAGATAAGCCTCCCACAGGATAAGCACAATACTCTACCACGGAACTATACCCCAACCCTTAAGATGGTTAGTATTATATCGTGTAAATTTTGCCTTGAATCGAAAAACAAAGAAACAAACAAAAATACTTGCTGCCCACAGTATGGGCAAAAGAGAGAAAGAGTAATAAAGAGCATAGATGAGGGTAGACATTTTTAGAAATGAAAGGGGATTGGAGGCAGCTCTTGAGAAGCGTGACACTTATGATCTGTAATGGGATCCGTAACTTCCTTCTAGATTGCTCAAGATAACTTCGTGAAGATCTACTGTACTTGACTTTTTAAGACTTCCAGAAATTAGATTTGAGTTTCTTTTGGATGTGTCTCTGTGCTGAGATAAGACTAAATATAGCTTACTTTTGCTTGGACTATATTAATATTTATTTTATAAGTTTGCTAAAGGTTAGACCTAGATTAGAGCAACAGATTCGAATGGGACCAAGTGCTTGCTCTATCACCCAGACAGAGTAAGTAGGCCCAGATCTGAAGACATCTTCCAGTTAAAACTGTAAGAAGTTAGGACTGTGTACTGTTTCCTAAAGGATCTGAAGCACAACCTACACCCTGTAACCGGAGAAGTATTTAGTTACCAGAGATGCAGTGGTAGCCAGTAATTTCAGCCTCCAATTTTGATGAAAATACTTGCCGAGACTGAACTGGCATAAACAAAGCACATTCACACCCAGCCAGCTGGACTCCATCTCAAGAATACAAGCTGAAGTACCAGAAGGTGAGGAGATTGATGCTATTTATGGGAACACTCTGCAGCCATCTCTCTATTACAGGTCTGGATGGAAAATGATGCAAAGGGATTTATAGCCCTAGAGAAAGAAGCTACCAAAATACTGCAAGCCCATGCAAATGTGGACGTTCCCTAGGAGAACCTGAAAGCCAGGGACACAAAATAGGGCAGTGGGTTTGCAAAATGAAAGAAGCAATTGGGAGAAGCAATCACCAACTCATAGACTCAGTAGGAAAGGGAAGCACTCAAAGAAATGAAAGAACAGACAGTGAAGCCAGAGAAAATAGGATGAACAGACAGAACTGGTAGAAATTATAGCAAATGTCTACAGGCATCAGAGCTGATGCTTCAGTCAAGTTCTGGATTGCTTCTTCCCAGCCCTGACCCTCACCCCTTATTTTTGTCTCCTTCCCAGCATTTGGTTTTGCTCTGTGAGGTCTTCCATCCATGTATTAGTTCATCCAACAGATTTTGATTAAGCACAATCTTTATGCCTGACCCAGGACAAACCTCTGGCCATATAGAAGTGAAGAGAACACAACTAAGGCCAGACTAAGAGCCTCAGAGGCTTTAAGCACTAAAAGACTAGGGTGTTGTCTTTTCCAAAGAAAATTCAAAATAATATGTTGTTTTTCCAAGTGATACAAACCCTTACCTATATGCTGAAATTGCTTCTTTCTAAAATTAGGAATTACAAAACTCAGATTTCATTAAAGATGAAATCTTTTCACTCTTGCTGTCTCCCTTCAGGGGTGACTAAGCTATGGACACTGCTTGCCTTTAAAAAGCTCACTGGCAGTGGGGGAGCGGGGGCGGGGACTGGAGGTGTGGCTCAGTGGTAGAGCCCTTGCCTAGTATGCATGAGGCCCTGGGTTCCATTCCCAACACAGGAAAATAATGACTTTGTGGACTTATTCACCATATACTTATACACTTGAATTAGAGGTTACTGAACTGAGTTCAAATACCAATGGAATCCAAAGGGTGAACTTTGAGGATAAGGTACCAACTTGGGGAGAGACTTGGTGGATGGAAGGTCCAGAGAAGAGCTGTATTGGAATGGGCGAAGGCCAAGTTTCTGAGATGGCTTCCACTAGCCAAAAGAATTAAATTTGAAAACAAAGAAATTGAGAGAGTTTGAAAGCTAAAAGCTGAACAATGAAAGAGTTGTTAGAATCAATGATTTTACCGAGTAGAGCTGGATTCCAAAAGTGAGGGTTAAGTAGTCGAACGAGAATACAGAAAGAGGGAAGGTAGAATTTTGGCCCTTGGGCCCAGCAACATGCTGCTTAATGATAGTATTCCCTTCAAAGTTCCTCAGCGAACCTGAGAGGTTCCTCAGCTAACCTAAATAGAATGGGTTCATGGATGGTTTAGGTAAATTTACAGCTGAGAGATGTAAAAGTTAAGTGAGGTTAGATGTGTCTAAGCTATGTCCCCGGCTTGTGGTTGTCAGTGGATTGAAGAATAAGGATTTCAAGACTTTGGGATTTTTGTACAAGTATAAACATTTCTTCAAAATCAGGGAGAGTACATAGACATTGTTTCACCTGCCTCAAAGAGTACTCTACTTCTTTGGGAACTCCCCTTCCCCATTCCAAACATAGTTATGGTAGGGTTGCCCAATCATGGCTTCTTCATTCTTCCACTACAGGGTGAACCTAACCCAGCTGGTCTCCACCCTTAATGCTCTGATTGATTCAGAGATAACACATGTCCCAATTTATGATAATCAGAGTTCCCTAGCTGGAAATGCTGCTCAGGTGGACTGTGGATAGATGTCTTAACTTGCAGGAAAACAGGGCTCTAGTTTAGGGGGAACAACTGAATTGTGAGGACAAAGTCCTTGTGCAGAAAGAAGCAGAGGGGAGAGCTGCAGTGCACAGGAGAGAGATCTGAAGGTGGTTCCAGTCACTCCCTTAGGGCAGCACCACATCTACCCTCCATGGTTTGGTTGCAGGAGGCAACATTCTGCTTTCTACTTTATTTATTTTGTGTTACTTCAATTTCTGTTCAAAGAGTCCTGTCCTAGGAAAGCCATCAAGCAATATTCCCTGAAGAAAATTGACTGGGAGAATTTATAAAAAGTTGTATAGGGGACTGGGGACATAGCTCAGTGGTAGAGCCCTTGCCTTGAATGTGTAAGGCCCTAGGTTCAATCCTCAGCACCCCCCCCCTCAAAATAAAAAGTTGTAAAGTTAAGATCACATACCCAATAGAATGGTTAAAATTCTAAAGACTTTCAGTACTAAATGGTGTGCTGGGCATAGTGGCATCATGGCACATCTGGGATTACCCCAGATGCTTGGGAGGCTGAGGCAGGAAGATGGCAAGTTCAAAGCCAGCAGGCGCTAAGCAACTCAGTGAGACCCTGTATCTAAATAAAATACAAAATAGGGCTGGGAATGTGGCTCAGTGGTTGAGTGCCCCTGAGTTCAATCCCTGGTAATTTGATTAAGTACAATCTTTATGCCTGAGCCAGGACAAATCTCTGTGCATACAAAAGTAAAGAGAACACAACTAAGACCAGACTAAGAGCCTCAGACTATGCTTGTGGTTATCAGTGGATTGAAGAAAAAGAATTTCAAGACATTGGGATTTTTGTACAAGTATAACAATTTCTTCAAAATTTCTGCAAGAATGTTCAGGGGGTTGGGGATGTGGCTCAGTGGTAAAGCATATGTCTAGTATGCAAAAGGCCCTGGGTTCAATCCCCAGCATCCCCAGCCTTTAATGTGGCATCAGCTTCCCCAGCAAGAGCTCTTTATTCCCAAACTGAAAGGAAACCAAATGAGATTGGCGTTTTTAAAATCGTGTATATCATGCCATGGCATAATACTCAGCAATAAAAAAGAAATGACACTGTGGTAGATCCCCAAAACATTATGTTGAATCAAAGAAGCCAGACACAAAGCAGTATGTACACTCTGTTTAATTTCACTCATATGAAGTAGAACAGGCAAAACTAACCCGTGGTGATAAAAATTAGACCAGTGGTTACTTAGGAGGAGAGATGAAAAGGAGACACAAGGAAACTTTCTGGGGTAATACAAATGTTCTGTATTTTAATTAGGGTAGCTGCTACATTGATTAACATATTTGCCAAAACTCATCAAATTACTCACTCAAAATCTGCGCATTTTAGTGAGACCCTGTCTCAAAAAAAGGACTGAGGCTGTTGGTCAGTGATAAAGCGCCCCTGGATTCAATCCCCAATACTGCATTAAAAAAAATAAGAATATTTATATACCTATGTTTACAGCAGCATAATTCACAGTGGTCAAAATGTAGTAGCAGAATAACCAATATGATTCTGCAACATGTACACTCAGAAAAATGAGAAATTATATCCCATCTATGTATGATATATCAAAGTGCATAAATGCATTCTACTGTTATGTATGATTAATTGAAATAAAAAATTTTAAAAGGTGAAAGCCATAAAAGTGTCTATTGACAGATGAATGATTAAACAAAATGTAGTAGATACATATACTGGAATACTATACACCCCTAACTATTTAGCCCTAAAAAGAAAGAACATTCTAAAGTATGCTACAACAGGAATAAACCTTAAAGGACATTAGGGTAAATAAAAGAATCAGGTCACAAACACACACACACACACACACACACAAATTATATGTTTCCACTTTTAGGAGCTCCCTGGAATAGTTAAATTCATAGATAGAGTGTAGAATGGAGGAGACCAAGGACTGGGGGGCTGGAAATAGGAAGTTATTTCAAGGGTGCTGCATTTCAAAAAGACAAGAGTTCTAGAGATGGACCGTGGGAAAGGTTGCAAAACAATGTGAATGTACTCAATATCACTGAACTATAAACAAAAGTGTTTGAAGACAATAAATTTTAAGTTATGTATATTCTACCACCATTGAGGTAAAAAAAAAGAATATTGAAAAGAAGTTGCCTATTTCCTGTTTTGCCAAGGAGGGACATGGCAAAACAACAAACCAGCCTCCACCTACTACCACCAGCATTTCATAAATGGAGAGATAATTTTGAAACAAACAAACAAACAATGTAAGAAGGACATACTCTCAGGATAAAACAACAAATAATGACATTTGGACATGTTCTCCCACATCATTCTTACTGTTTTTTATTTTACCACAGTTTAATAATAATTTTTTAAAAAACTTTTTCAATAATCACCAGTTTGGAGATCAGAGTTTGGAATGTCTACAGTACAAAGTGGGTTGATGATACCATCAGGGATAAAAACCCTGAGCCCATTAAAACATTGTTCTGATCCAATATGACATTTCCTGGACCCCAAAAGCATGCTTTCATACAGGTATAGAAGAAAATCATGTAAACATGTCTCACAAACAGCTATTGGGAGACAGAAGCCCAGAGAGGCCTCCCCACCAGAGCAAGAGCAACGTCTGGGAAATACAACATTCTCATCCTGATACATTCAAATAGGGCACTTGTGGCTCATTTGCCCCTATGTTCTCATGTGCGTGCCTTTAATGTGGCATCAGCTTCCCCAGCAAGAGCTCTTGCAACTTCAAGTTCCCAGAAGGCAGGAAGTGAAGCAACCCAAGCTAGATGCAGCCCCAAAGTTGAGTCTGTGTGGTAATGGCAAGGAAACCAGAAAAGGTAACAAGGAGCGAGAGGCTCAGTGCTACAAAGCTTGCTTAGCATGCACAAGAGCCTGGATTCAACTCCCAGCTGGGTAGGGGGAAGAGAGTAAAAAGTAACAAGTATGAAACCATAAGGAAATTCAAAGTTGATTGCAAGCTTCAATCTTTGCTATGGAGTTCCAGAAAATTCCAAGAGTCTGAACTTGCTTTATTATGACTAAGCTTTGTGAGGAACAAGGAGAATGGGCATTGAAATTGGAAATGGTCTAGGAGTTCTCAGGTTCACTTCAAATTCTTTAAGTGGTATTAAAATGCTTTATTAAATTAGCATGACAGGGCTGGGGTTGTGGCTCAGTGGTAGAGTGCTTGCCTGGCATGTGTGAGATACTGGATTCAATTCTCAGCACCACATATTAATAGATAAAATAAAGGTATATTGCCAACCAAAAAAAATTTTTAAAAAGTGACACATTTATAGCATTAGAATGCATATATTTAAAAGAAAAAAGACTGAATACTAATAAATAATACAATTTTTTAAAAATTAACATGACAATGTTCCTTAATGTATATCCAAAATGATGTATTAAAAAGAAGCTACAACTGGGGTTGTAGCTCCGTGGCAAAGCGCTTGTCTATAAGGCATGAGGCACTGGGTTTGATCCTCAGCACCATATAAAAAAAAAATTTTTTTAAAGTATTATGTCCATCCACAACTAAAAAAAAGAGGAAGAATAAGAAGGAGGAGGAAGAGCTGGGCACAGTGGCTTGGGAGACTGAGGCAGTAGGATCACAAGTTCAAAGCCAGCCTCAGCAACTTAGTGGGGCCCTAAGCAAGTTAGCAAGACCTTGTCTCAGATTAAGAGATAAAAGGAACTGGGGTTGTGGCTCAGTGGTTAAGTGGCCCTGGGTTCAATCCCCAATACCGAAAAAAAAAAATGCAGGAGGGCAAGGAATCTGATATGTTTAGACATATTTGAAAGACAGTCAACATGCTTTCAGAAAAATGGCAAATAAGTACAAAATCCTTTTTTCCCCCCAATGTTGAAGATGGAACACAAGGCATTGCACATGTTAGACAATAACTTTACAATTGAGCTATAGTTTCCAACCCACACAAAACTTTTTTATACCTCTCCATGGGGATTCCCCTTTCAATGTGCTCAAGCTTTTTTATCCTATGCCATACTATGTTCCCACAGGGATGCTCTTTTTACCCTTCCTGGGCTCTGACACTGTCCCTTGGTCATCTTCATGC